TCTGTTCTGCTGGACTCCCATGTAGTCAACAATGGCTCGCGTCCCAGACCTGGTGGCTTAAACTCACTCCGGGTGCAAGTATATGCGTGCCTGAGATCCTGAGAGGAGAATGGAGGAGAAGGGATTGCAGTGTGGCCATCCCCCCGCGGGGTGATTTCTCGCTTTATGTCTCTCTCTCTGTGTCTTTCTGGTGAGCACACGTGCCCTATAGTAAAAAAAATTCTCAAAAAAAAAAAAAAAAGTCTTCCTTTCTTGTACTATCTTCAATTCAAATATAGGAGGAAGAGTTTTCTGTTCACTTATTAAACTTTGAGTAGTTAATGGCCTAAGAAATCTGAGTGTTTTATGAAGATTATGAAAACAAAAACTATGCACAGTGCAAAGGAAAATGCTAATGTAAACAGCCTTCAAAAAAAAAAAAAAAAGAAAGAAAGAAAGAAAAAGAAAACACACAGGAGGAACATATAATTAACTAGATTGCTATTTTTGTTAAACTGAACATTTTGAAAATAATATGAAACTGAAACTCGATATTGACAATAATTTTATTTGTGGCTTTCTAAGGCTAAGTGGCAGGATGTTCCTTATGCCGATATAGAAAGTATCTAGCATTTTCTTCATCAAGTTTGTACTAGTTACAGACAGATCTGTGGTGGGGATGAAAATAGCTTAATTTTCGGAGAATAACCTATAATTCAAAAAAGAGCATTGGAACCAATCCTGAGAAAAGGGAATGCCTGACATAATTGCAAAATTAAAAAGGAATAATATAGTTGGTTGTGATAATGACAAACTAAATATATATTTTGTGTATCTATACACACACATATTTAAAGGTGTAAGGGCATGTATTAACAATCAAATTTTCTTTCCTAAATTACTGTGTGACATATTTTTTAAGAGCCCTGTTAGATAAACCTCCACAATGAAATGAGAAAACATGAAACAGAAACAGAGATTTATGTATCCAAGTGCCTTGGCCTTCACAGGACCTGCCTCCCAGGCATGCATCAATACAACTCTTAGTTTGGTGCACTACCAAACCTCTGTTCTTTTAAGCATTGAGTGTTACCAGGAACTTAATTCATGCAGAAATATATTCCCCATTTTGAAAATATTAGGTACCTTAACTACTGAAATTGTCCTAGCCAAAAGATTACTATCTGGCTAAGAAATTAACCCTAAGTTTACATTAGAATAATTGTAGAGTTAACTACCCTAATAGAAACTAACCTACAGCATGTAGGTAGATTTCTTATCAGACAACGATTCAGTGTACTTCTTGATATTTTGAAATATCCATGCCCTAAAGATGATAGGAAATAGATAGATAGGAAAAACTGGTAATACCAAATTTGTTAGAGACAGGGAAGCTTACATTCAGAGATTAAAAAGTCAGGTTAGACCCAGAAATTCTAAGGCATTCTAATATTGATAGATGCTGTTTCTTGATAGGCTGAGGTCACATGGTAGGCCCAGGTTTGAGTCCCATGCCCACCTTAAAAACCTGCAATGTGATAGGCATCTGTGGTCTTGCATACTTAGGAAACTGAGGCAGGAGGATTGTGACACAGGAGACTCTGTCTTAAAAATAAAAGGTAAGTTAACTGATTATTTACTTTGTCCTACTCAATAGATTAACTTTATTGCAAAATTCAAGTAGCAGTAATAGAAATTTAGCACATTAGTAATTTTTCATTGTTCTTTAATTTAGAGCTACTGAGCAGCCTATATAGATTATTCTATAATATTTATTTGCATTTCTATGAAGAACCAAATATTAAGAAGAACATAAGAAAAACAATGAACGCTCATGTTGACCTACTATGCTCCCTCCCTCAGGGTCTTCCTTTTGTATGTATTATCAGAAGACTTATTTTAGTATAGCAATTAAACTCACTAAATTAAATTCAGCCCTGATAACTATATAACCCATGTAAATGTTTTCTCTTCATAAATAATAATACATAATTCACTATCAGATTGTCTTAGTTTATATCATCCTTATTTAATACCCATTAATCCTTAACTTAACCCAATTCTTCATTCTAAAGTTCATATTAAATCTTAGCACTGTTTGAAATAACGTTTGCTTCTGCTTATCAAACAATTGTCTGTTTCTATTGTTTTCTGGATTTGTTTTGGTATCTTTCTATTGTATTGACAGTTCTCAACCTGTATTTATTTTTAATTATCTTTCACTGCTAATTAACCATATTTGGCTGACCATCCTGTCCTGAGAAAACAAGTGAACATATCAATAGATCTCTTTGTTTGTTGTTCCCAAAGTAATAATGTGCATTGCGCCATTTTCTCTTGCATCATTTTATTGTTTGTCCTTCATGATGGCTGGCTATTTCTCATCTTCCTTATTCTTACACTGTTCTGCATCTATTAGTAGTCCTCCAGTTTTTGTCACCTCTTTATGATGTATTTTAATTGTTTTGCTTAAACACAAACTACTTCCTGCATAGAAATTGGCTAATGTCATACCCAGTTCAGGCTGCTTTAGCAAAATATTACAGATTGAATGGCTTAAATAGTAGATTATTTATTATTATTCTGGAGACTAGGAAGTCTGAGATGAGGATGCTAAGCATGGGCCCATTCTGGTGAGTGCCTATTTTCTAATTTATAGAAGACTGTGTTACAGGGAACTCAAGTGCCTTATGCAAAAAAAAAAAAAAAAAAAAAAAAAAAAATTAACCCAATTTAAAGAAGGGAAAA